TGGATATGTCACATACTTGTCATTGTTTGACGCTCCTTACCACGGCGTGGGGCACCGGAGGTGCGCTCCTGTGGGCGCAGGCATGGGCCCATGCGAGGCGGTGAAGGAGCCGGAGCTCTTGCCTGCTGCAATTGTAAAACTTGATTGCTTCCTGACAAGGGCTGCTCTGTTTCAGGTGTTCTGGCGGGTTCGGGTGCCTCCTGCGGGCTTGGCTTTGCCACTGCCTCAAGAGCGGCCTCGCATCGCGGTTCAAACTCTTGCTTGAACTCCAGCACCATTCCGTCAGGGTTGGGCGCGACCCGAGCAGTCACTGCTTTCTCGGCTTGCTTCTTGTTGTCCAAATTCTTGTCGCTTGGCGCAACCTGGACAATTAGAACTTCTTCGTCTGGCTTCTTGCCGTCTACCTTCTGATTGCCCCGTGCAAGCAGCCCGACCTCCACCAAGACTTCTGCACGGGCCGAACTCTTACCGGTTACGCAAAGGGGCAGTGCACCGATATAGCCAGCAATTACATCGCTGCCTGAGATCACGGCATGCAGCGTGCGCATACGCCTCCGTTGCAATTCAACGATGACAACGGTGAACATCAGAACCTGACTTTTCGTTGCGAGGAATGTATCGGGGCAGCTAAAGCTCCCAGACTGCTTGTTCCTTTCGAGGGTGACGGAACTGGAATGATCGCCGAAAACCTCTGCGAGAACAGTCACGGTCAAGCGTGAATCCAGCTTAAGAGCTGTCTGCAGCTGCTCCACTGGAACTGCCACATTCGAGACACTGACTTCGAATTGGTCCTCTTGCTGCCATTCTAGCACCTGGCCCAGATCATCACCTCTGACGAGCATGCAAGCTCCAAACAGAACTGTCATGAGCACAGGGGTGACAAGCAATGATGTCACCAGGTTGGTGAGTGTGGATAGTAGAAACTTCTCACCGTCCGCCGGACTAACGCTGGCAAGGAAAATGCTGACCACCAGGGTGCAAAGCATAAGGCATAAGGTGGATCGTCATGTAGCACCAGAAAACTCTTGTCCTCAGAGGGTGGGCGTCGTTTCCGCCGAGGTGAATCACAGCGAGCAGCATCACAAATGGCAGTGAGCCGAAGATTGCAGAAATCCACGCTATCACAGCGCTGCGGACCAACTTATCGAGCAAGGCCTCAGGGGGAGCACATTCGGGTTGATCGGGGGCCAGTGCTGTGGATCCGTAGAAGACCGCCATGATTGCCCAGCCACTGTACAATTTCGCCAGAAGCACACTGCAACGCTGAGCACAGCTAGCCTTCAGTGAAGGGGTAGCAAAGCTGAACCAACGACAATGCACTTGGTACAGCATCGTCAGCTTCAACCAGAGTCTTTGCTCTGAGAATCGTGACAGGACGGACCGTGCTTGCTGATGCCAGGCTGTAACTCCACTCACGCGCTGCAGTCGATGCAACTCAGCGACGCTCAGTCCGATCCTCCTCTTTACTATCTGGCCAGCCACACGCCTAGCTGGGTAAATTACTCCCAGGAAATACTCGCGCAAATCATCCACGAAGTCGTTTCGGGATAATCCCACGTGTCGCAAGATCTTGATCTCCTGAAACCCCTCCAGTGCATCCACGTGCTCCATGTATCGCTGGTCCATTCGTTTCGCTACAAAGACCATGCAAAGCCCGACCAGGAGGGTAACCCACTGGATGACCGCGGGAGCCTGCATTGCCCACTGCCACTTCAGCAAGGACTGCAGGCCTTCAAGCGAGAAGATGGCAGCTGCATTGCTACACACCAATGTTGTCACGACGGCCCTTATAATCGCAGCAAACAGTGAGAGGTGAGTAGTGGAGCATCGCACACTGCCCCCAGCAGTGGACATAGTCATGACGCCCTGACTGGACCAGGCATCCTGTTGCTCATCCCAGTACACACATGTCAAGTCACCAGCGGCATTGGCATCCGTGATCGGGATGGTGAAGTTGAGAGGTGCTGGCAGCGTGCCATTGACTCCGCCCTCCCACAGGCTTATCTTGATACTGATGGGTTGCGTCGCCAAAACATCTCCAGAAGCCTGTGTAGAAGCGATGAGAACTTCAGTAATCTCGTTGCCTGGCTTTGAATCGCTTACGCTGACAACTGCAAACCCCGGGTGAGCCTGCGATGTGAACAGCGCCGTTGGCACACCCACGAGAGAATCTCCTGCGGACAGTTGGACTGAGCCTGTTGCAATCTCGCTCGGCCCAACCTGCAGCACGGTGGTATAGACAGGAGTTCCCGTGTTTCTGGTAATGGTTTGCAGTGAGCCGTACACTTCCGGCTCGGACGAGTTCGTGGTGTTCGAGCTCGAGCCCAAAAATCGGAAAAGCTGCATTGTGTCCTCAATCTGGTTCCTTTCAAGGTTACCAACTGCGTCGACAGAGCCGCCAGAACAGCAGCATCTCCAGAGGTAACAGTGACAGTGGCCTGTGTTGAGCTAACCGATGTCAGGGACGATGTTGACGACAAGCCTTGGGTCGTCGTTGTTTCTCCGGTGTGCGTGCGTGTGCCCGTCGACGATGATGTTGATGTTGGAGCCATGGTGGAGCTCCAGGAACTCGTCGTAGTCAGTGTAATCGACGAACTCATCGTGGAAGTCGATACAATCGACGAACTCGTCGTGGAAGTCGATGTGATCGACGAAGTCGACATTGCTGTGTAGCTGCTGCTGAGCGTCGATGTGCCACTTGAGGTCGATGTTGATGCGCTACTAGTGTACGTTGAAGTGGCACACGAAGTGGAAATTGATGTGCTGCTGGTGTACGTTGACGTGGCACTCGAAGTGGAAAGTGATGTGTTGCTGGTGTACGTTGAAGTGGCACACGAAGTGGAAATTGATGTGCTGCTGGTGTACGTTGACGTGGCACTCGAAGTGGAAAGTGATGTGTTGCTGGTGTACGTTGAAGTGGCACACGAAGTGGAAATTGATGTGCTGCTGGTGTACGTTGACGTGGCACTCGAAGTGGAAAGTGATGTGTTGCTGGTGTACGTTGACGTGGCACTCGAAGTGGAAATTGATGTACTGCTGGTGGCTGAGGACGTCGCACTCGCAGTTGATGTTGATGTGCCGCTGTCGGATGTCGTACTGCTTGCGCTTGGTGTCGAAGAGACCGTGCTGGCTGTCCAGGTGGTACTCCCTGTTGTGCTTGAACTTGTTACCGAGGAACTGGCTGTTGAGGCAGTTGTTGTAGTACTTGAACTTGTTAATGATGAAGTGATGGTAGTGGTGCTAGTGGTGGTGAGCACGGGAGCCATGCTCAGCATTCCAACAGATACCTCTCGGTCTGTGGGCACAATAAAATCGGCCAACTGCTCGTTGAGAAGAACCATACTGTTGTTCCCCGGCTCAATGTAAAGGCCATAGAAGTTCCACTGGACAGGGTCCCTGGAGGTCAGATCGTTTCCAGTCACCCAACTCCAACTTGATAGGATGACCGGGTTTGACAGTTGGACGTGTATTCCAGACGATGTCTGTATGTCCTGCTCAACCCACTTCGTGGTGACATCTCCATCTACTGCTTTGCCTGGCTCTGCACCCGACGGGCTACTCCCGCTATTCAGCCAGGCCACGGCCGTTGCCCCTTGAGCTGGCAAGTCGACCTCGAGTGAGGCGCTGTCCCAGATCTGAAACTCAGACACTTGGATGGCAAGTGGAGACAAAGCGATACTGCAAAAACGGCGCACAACTGCCATGCCGCCAGATCCTTGGCACGCACCAACGATCTCGCTTCTTCAAGCCTCTCTGGCCCGAACAAGCAAGACGAACAACAAGGACTGGGAATGGAACTTGTTGAATGTCCCTGGGCATACTGTAGAACATGTAGAATCTTCCCACAGTTCTCCCTGGAGACATTGTTTTACAATGTAGAACAATGTCTCCAGGGAGAACCCAGTTCACGTTGTCTTGAGACAACAGCAACTCGAAAATCACTGGATCTCTTTCAGGAGCATCCTCTGATAATTGCATTCCACAATAGCCGATGGCCGTGAAAGGAGTGGGGAGGCTGATGATCAAATCCCCTTTGTTGAAGTCCACCCATTTCGACACTGCTTTGTCGATGGAAAGAGACGGAGGGTGCACTCCACCGGCGTTATCGCCCCCAGGGTTGGTGGCTGTGGCAGAGGAGAGATCCACCTGATTCTGATCCGGGTCGATCAAATAAACTTCCCAAAGTGAAATGGCATCTGCAGAAGCAACTCGTGTCTGCACAGTGCGAAATTTTGCGTACTGCGCGAAGCACGTAGCTGGCCAGCCAATGCGCAGATCCTGGAGAACCAGAACCAAGAACGCCAGAGCTCCATGCATCGCCGCGGACTGGCGAATCCGGCCACATAGGCCAGTTGGAAAAGCCTTACGCCTGCTGGTACATGCTTGATTTGTCGAGACAGCCTCTTCTGCTGAGAAAATGAGTTCTTGTGTGCTGCGTGCTGCGATCTAAAACAACATCGGCTTTGGAGCCTCCATGTTCAAGTCCCCCAAAATGTGCATGCGCTCTTGTCTGTGGGTGCTTATCGGTGGGTTTCCGGAACCCTGCTTACGTCGCTCCCTCCTTCTTCTCGCTGTCTTCATACATGCATGTTTTCTGGAATGCCGCTTGCCGCTCGCGCATATGCCCCCAAGCTGCAACACCACCCCCCCTCCAACCCCCCGCATACCTGCATTTTTAGCCAAAGACATGCAAACAACCATCAAGCAACCTTCCTGGTGATGTCTGACCGGGGCTTTTCTGCCACAGGTGCATGCCACCGATTGACTTGAGCGGTGCTGGCAACTTTGACCTGTCACCCATGTAGGAGCAGCTACCCTTGTCGCCATAAGCCACCGTAAATTTCGAAGACTCACATCGAAGCGCTTCTCCACCTGACGAGCTCTTGTGGCGATCATGGCACTAGGCTGGGATCAGCATGAGGGTCCTGCACAAGCTGCAGTTCTTAACAAATCCTGCAGAACTCAGCCTGGCCCAGCATCCGCAGGGGACGGAATCGCGCTCAATCTTGAACCTCGGCGTCCAGAGCATCGCGATGCACTTTGCAGAGCTTCTTGGGTGAAACACAGCAATGAAGATGGCTTGCATGTCTACGCCTTGAAGCTTTCCGTTTGAAATCACTGCCGCCAGCCTTCCTTCCAATGCATGTCCCTCAACGCTGCCAACATGTACTGTACGTAATGCGGTCAGAGACAGACTGGTGGGGAAATTGGAAGGGCAAGCTCAACGGCGACATGGCCCTCAGTGCATGGTTTATGCAAACATCAGGCCCCAGCGTAATGGATACGACTTTCCCTGCTGTCCGGGTCCGAAACCTTGGCTTTCAGGAGAGCTAAACCAGGTAGATAGATGAATGAATGTGTATATCTATATATATATATATATATAAAATGTAGATATAGATATAGATATGCTTTTTGGCACTCGCACTCGACGCATCAGGCGAAATTTGGGGTATAGATATGCTTACAGATGTGTATGTATGTACGTACACACGTATGTAGGTATAGATGTATGCATGTAGGGGACGTATGTATGTGCACATGCGTGTATACCCACACATGCATATACACGAATAAACACGAGAATGCGGAGCAAAGAAAATTGCAGGTGTGTAGCCGGCTACATGAGTCATGAATTAAACAGGTTCATAAGTAGGCAAGTAAGTGGATAAGCGCACGATGCACGGACACCTGAATGAATACATGAAAACTGAACAATATGTGATTATATGTGTGTATATATATATATAATATACACATATGTATATGTGCATATGTAGAGTATATATATATATATAGATATACACATGCATGCACAGGTACTGTACGTTTGATGTAGACTCGTAACCATGTACTCGCAAGCGCACACAGGCATACACAGCCACAGTCAAGTGCAAGTTCATAACAACCTCAAAGCATCTTGGCCTATAGATAGTGAAACTCGAGCCACCAAACAACTCGAGTCGAAACCAGTCTCTGCTCTGGCGGCGTCTGACCGCGTGCGCAGGCCAGATCAGCAAAACATGGTGGTCAGCTGCCAATCAGTGCTTCATTTTGGTGTTCGGTATCAGACTGTGTCAAGTTGCAACCCACAAGGTCTCGAAAGGACCCATGAATATGAAGGACATGAAGGGCACGAGCGTGAGCAAGTGCAACAATATTCGTTCATCGGATCTTCAACTCCACCCTTGTTCCTTGTCGCATGTATTCGAAACCCGGCGATGATGGCACAGATCTTGTCGCTTCTTGGGCTAGCGTGCAGAGTGGCTAGAAAATGTCGCCGAGAGCCCCCCTGTGCACATGGCATACATGATGGCCGGCAAACCCTGCCATGTATTCATCATGCTAGCTAAAGTGCATGCCCGCAGCTATCGCTCTGAATATGCAACAGACCTGAACGCTGTTTATTTGAAAAGTGCGTGTGGAAAAGCTTTCGCTTCTAGTTGGGTGCAGGCGTGATACAATTCCAAACCACCCGTCACAACACTCTGACCTTGCCGGCTGCATCCTTCAAGCGTAACGAACCGTAGAAGGTCTTTGCCAGGGTCCCTGCTTTGGTTTCCGACACGATGTATCCGCCGTGCCTCTGCGTGCCACGATAGTGCATTAGTCATGCTGGCACTTTGCAGCACTATGCTGCAACCCAAAACCACAAGTCAAGTCTGTCCGCTCCTAGTCCCTTTCCGTCTGCCGTCCTACCAGTCTGCTCATCTTCTCTGTGAAGGGCTTTAAATCTGCCAAACTCCTAGGAGATAGAGGAAGCCAAACGCGCACCGGTACGGGAAGATCCCTGACAGAGAAGTCCTGTTTACTGCTGGCGAGCCTGTGAACGACCTATCCTGAGAAGTTGGGTCCAACGGCTTCCCTCTGGGTAGTCTGACTCGACCGGCTTTGTGATGAGCACGTGCCCAGGACCTTGGCCGGATCTTGTGTGGTTTGAGGGGCCGGAAGCAAAGCGAGGACATGCCAGGGATTGCTGTCGAACCTGTGCAGGCATGTGAGACTGAGTGCTTCAACAGAGCGGACTCTCAGCCCCTGGCAGCCGATGGCGTCGGCCGCTGACAGCAAGGCTTCTGCTACGTTGAACTCCTCTGCTCAAGACGGGACGGCTTTACAAAGATGATCCGTACTTGTTCATTCAGCTCTGCCGCAATGCCGAAATCCGAAGGCGGGACATCTTCTCTGAAGTCAACAACCCCTGACAGCACCTCGCGCTCCGAGGCGTTCTGCGCAATCACATCTCCACAGCGACCTGGAGAAAAATGTATCAAATCTTCGTGTGGTTGATTTGATCAGGAGCGATTCACTGTTGGCTGGTGGGCGCTGTGTTCCACAAGAGCAAGACATGAGGCGAGGAGCCTGGCCGCCTTGTAGCAAGTTTCGACCGACGCTGGAGGACAGCCCTTTCTTTTCGGAAAGGCCCCACAGTACTCCGAACCAACACAGGCTTAGCCGACTTGCCCTGCAGAATTTTGGCCAATTACAGTCATGAGTCAGATATTGACTGCATCGTGAAACCAAACCCGAACTCCCAAACTCCGAACACTCGTTGAATTCGGAATTTCAGGGGTCCAGGCCGCTGGTAAAAGCGATCACGGCCGGGCCTGCTCCGGACAAGCACCTCGCATTGCAAACGGTCTGCGTATGGCATCACCGGGGACAAGCTACGAAACTGGACTGAAATGGCCCGGCTGCGAAGGTACACCTGAGCTCCTACAGCAGCGGGCACCCTGTTTGGCTCCCGCATGGTAGTCCAACCGAAGGTCTACATGGCAGGTATTCCCTGCCCTTAAAAAGGCTGGTCTCACAGGTCCAGGATCCCGTCGTAAAATTATCATGCTCTGTCTTCGGAGACCGCACTCGCACCTGGAGGATCCCGTGCACGGCGTGGAGTACCCAATGTCCGTGACTGCGGGCGCAAGCAGGGGCCCATGCGAGGCCGTGAAACTGGAGCGAGAGCGCTTGCCTGCGGCATGTGCAGCTCCTCGCTTCCTGACAAGGCCTCCCTTGCTTTAGGTGTCCTTGTCGCGGGTGCGGGTGCCTCGCATGGGGGTTCTGGCTCCAGCACTACCACCGGAACAGTCACCCCTTCCTCATCTGGTCTCTTGTTATCTACCTTCTCCTCCGGTGCCGTTCCCTCGTCGTTGGGCGCAACCTGGACGATCAGAACTTCGTCGTCTGGCTTCTTGCCGTCTACCTTCTCCTCATTGCCGCGTGCAGGGGGCCCGACCTCCACCAAGACTTCTGCACAGGGCGACGTCTTACCGGGCACGAAGAGGGGCAGTGCCCCGCTGTAGCCGGCAAGCGCGTCGCTGCCTAGGGCCACGGCATGGAGCGTGAACGCGCGCCTCCGTTGCAGCTCCACGACAATAATCGTGAACATCAGAACCTGTGGCTTCGTGACGAGGATTGTATCTGGGGAGCTGAAGCTCCCAGACTGCTTGTTCCTGTCAAGGGTGATGGAACTGGATTGATCGCCGAAGACCTCTGCGAGAAGAGTCACGTTTACGCGGGAGTCCAGCTTCAGAGCTGCCTGCAGCTGCTCCACTGGAACCACAACCTTGGAAACAGAGACTTCGAATTGGTCCTCCTGCTGCCACTCTAGCAGCCGATCTAGATCATCAGCTCTGGCAAGCATGCATGCTCCAAACAGCGCCGTCAGGAGCACGGGGGTCACAAGCAATGAGGTCACCAGGTTGGTGAGTGTGGATAGTAGAAACTTCTCACCGTCCGCCGGACTAACGCTGGCAAGGAAAATGCTGACCACCAGAGAGCAAAGCATAATATGGATCGCCATGTATCCCCAGAAGAGATTTGTCCGTGCAGTGCTGGAGCCGTTTCCGCCGAAGTGCACCAAAGTCAGCAGCACCACAAATGGCACGGAGCCGAAGATTGCAGAAATCCACGCTATCACAGCGCTGCGGACCAACTTATCGAGCAAGGCCTCAGGGGGAGCACATTCGGGTTGATCGGGGGCCAGTGCTGTGGATCCGTAGAAGACCGCCATGATTGCCCAGCCACTGTACAACTTAGCCAGAAGCACACTGCAACGCTGAGCACAGCTAGCCTTCAGTGAAGGGGTAGCAAAGCTGAACCAACGACAATGCACTTGGTACAGCATCGTCAGCTTCAACCAGAGTCTTTGCTCTGAGAAATGTGACAGAATGGATCGTGCTTGCTGATGCCAGGCTGTAACTCCACTCACGCGTTGAAGACGATACAACTCGCCGACGCCCAACCCGATCCTCCTCTTTACTAACTGGCTGGCCACCCGCCTAGATGGATGAAATACTCCGAGGAAATACTCACGCAGGTCAGTGACGAAGTCCTTGCGGGAGAGCTCAACCGGTCGCAAGATTCTGATCTCCTGAAACCCCTCCAGTGCATCCACGTGCTCCATGTATCGCTGGTCCATTCGTTTCGCTACAAAGACCATGCAAAGCCCGACCAGGAGGGTAACCCACTGGATGACCGCGGGAGCCTGCATTGCCCACTGCCACTTCAGCAAGGACTGCAGGCCTTCAAGCGAGAAGATGGCAGCTGCATTGCTACACACCACTGTTGTCACGACGGCCCTTATAATCGCAGCAAACAGTGAGAGGTGAGTAGTGGAGCATCGCACACTGCCCCCAGCAGCGGACACAGTTATAACGCCCTGACTCGACCAGGCATCTTGTTGTTCATCCCAGTACACACATGTCAAGTCACCAGTGGCATTGGCATCTGTGATCGGGATCGTGAAGTTCAGAGGCGCTGGCAGCGTGCCATTGACTCCGTGCTCCCAAAGGCTAGCTTTGATACTGATAGGCTGCGTCGCCAGGACATCTCCAGAAGCCTGTGTATAAGCATTGAGGATTGCACTAATCTCGTCCCCAGGCTGTGAATCCGTTATGCTGATCACAGCGTACCCGGGGCGCGCCTCGGATGTGAAAAGCGCCGTGGGGACATCTACAATAGATTCTCCCGCAAGCACTTGCATTGAGCCTGCCGTGGTCTCGTTTGGGCCAGCTCGGAGCAAACGGGTGTAGAAAGGGGTCCCGGCATGGATGTTGGGCAGGCTTACCAGCGTGCCGTACACTTCAGGAGCGGACGAGTTCGTGGTGTCTGAGCTCGAATCCAAGACTCGAAATAGCTGTGCCGCGCTGTCCTGGCTGCTCTCAAGGTCTCCAATCAACTGGGCTGACATAGCCGACAGGACAGCAGCATCTCCAGAGGTGACGGTGACGGTGGTCCGAGTCAAGCTAATGGACGTAGATGATATTGAAGACGTGGTGGAGCTCGACAGACTCGTCGTGGATGTCTTCGTGACCGACGAGCTCGTCGATTCTGTCTGGCTGCTGTCTGTCGTTGTGGTACTTGAGGTTGATGTTGACGTGCTGCTGGTACTTGAGGTTGACATTGATGTGATGCTGGTAGATGAGGTTGAAATTGATGTGCTGCTGGTGGGAGAAGTTGATTTTGACGTGCTGCTGGTGACTGAAGTTGATGTTGATGTGGTGCTAGTGGATGAAGTTGATGTTACCGAGGTGCTGACGGATGGAGATGTCGTTCTCGACATTGATGACGACGTGGTGCTGCTGTATGTCGAAGTGGTGGTTCCTGTTGTGCTTGAACTTGATACTGATGAAGTGGTTGTGGTGGTGGTGAGCACGGGAGCAATGTTCAGCGGCCCGACAGATACCTGTCGGTCTAAGGGCACGGGAAAATCGGTCGACTGCTCGTTGAGAAGAGCCATGTTGTTGTTCCCCGACTCAATGTAAAGTCCATAGAAGTTCCACTGGAATGGGTCCCTGTTGACCCAGTCGTTCCCTGTCACCCAACTCCAGCTTGCCAGGGACACCGGGTTTGGCAGTTGGATGTGTATTCCTGCCGACTGCAGCATGTTGAGCTCAAGCCACTTCGTGGCGACATCGCCATCTACTGCTTTGTCTGGCCCCTCGCCAGAGAGGCTATTCCCCAGGTTCTGCCAGTCAGTTGCCGTGGCACCTTGGGCTGGCAAGTCTATCTCTGCGGGTGGTGAGGCGATGTCCCAGAATTGAAACTCTGCGACTTGCATGGCCGGGCCCTCGACTGTCATGTCTCGCGTGGCTGTTGGTTCGAACAGGAAATCCCGCCACTGCGCAGCCAGCTCGAGATTGAGTATGTCATGGTTCCGAAGGGTGGGCACAACGGTTGGGTCGGAATTGTAGTGTACAAGAACCCAGTTCACGTTGTCTTGAGAGAGCAGCAGCTCGAACACCACTGGATCTCTCTGTGGAAGATCCTCCGCTAGTTGCATTCCAAAATAGCCGATGGCAGTGAAAGGAGTCGGGAGGCTGACGATCAAATCCCCTTTGTTGAAGTCCACCCATTTCGTCGACATGGATTTGTCGGTGGCAAGGGACGGAGGGTGCAGACCGCCAAAATTATCGCCCCCAGGGTTGGTGGCTGTGGCAGAGGAGAGATCCACCTGATTCTGATCCGGATCGATAAGATAAATTTCCATGAGTTGGACGGAATCATAAGCAGCATCTCTCGTCTGCACAGTGCGAAATTTTGCAAACTGTGCGAAGTAGGAAGCTGCCAAGCCAGTGTGCAGGCCCTGGAGAACTATCACGACCAGAGTCCTGTGCATCGCCAGGCATGGCCAAGGGAATTCCGGAGGTCTGGCCTTTTCGGCCAGCAGATACAGGGCTGCGGAACCTGTTGGTACAAGTATGATTGCATGACTGTTCAAGACTCCTCTGATGCTTACTGGGGCAGCTTAAACCAAGCTGTCACACAAGCTCAACGAAGCAAAGTCTGGCTGTTGAATTGGGTCATGAAGCTAAATGGGCCACGCAAGTGAGCTGCAGGCACGCAGAAGTGGCCTCAACAAACCTTGAACATACATGGGTTAACGCAGACTGTACAAGGAGTCTGGCGGGGCTGCTCTCGCACCCCTATTTTTTCCGCTTCCCGCTGCACGTCTGGCTCACTCATCGCCTGAGTTCGTCTAGGATGTCAGGACCGAGAAAACGGCCAGGTTCGTCTGAACGAAATCTAAGAGCGCCGCGGTCGAACTGTGTGAGACCATCCTCCGAGGTGCAGGCTGCATGGGCTAGCGAAGGAAAGAGGTGAAGTACCGCCAGACTGTCACAAACAAAGCTTTCTGCAAACGACGGGATCCCTGTCTGCTATCGGTGCTATCGATCTAGTTACTGTCGCCGCCGACACGTCGTCAAACCTGCGATGGGGCATGCACTCCTGACGCATGTCCAACCACGGCCTTCTTCATTACAAAACCACACGGCCTTGTGCAGGAAAGGATGTTGCAGCGCAGTTGTAGCCGTCATCCGGCGGCAAGGATCGATCTCAAGAAGGCCTGTCAAAAGCTGGAAGCAGCAGTCTTGCCTTTTCTTTTGATCTTCGTGCAAGGCCCCCACCCCCGTTATCTTCTGGCGAGGTTGTCATGGGAGGCTATTTCCCTGCCGCGAAACGGCAATCGCAGCTCGCCTTGCAGGAAGGAGAGGAAGATGTCGTGCCGGCTGAGCACTGACCTCATATTCAACTCCTTATGCAACACTGCTGAGCATCTGAGTCTAGCTCTTCCTCGACGCTGCCACCCGAGATTCTCAGATGTGGTGCTGGATTGTGGGGGAC